TTAAAGGGGGTGCAAGTTAATTTTCAGCCACCCTCATGGTTATTTGGATTTGAAACGTTTTAGGACAACATTTTGTTATTAGTGGGCCGAATTTTGTTTTCTTTATGTCAATTTTTATGTTTCGTCAAGACCTGTAAAATGATACCAAACTCGACTATACTCGTCATTTGGAAATTTTGAGCTAACCCCTACCCCCGCTATCCCTAAGAATAAAATTTTCAAAATTGACCATAATTATTGTACCCCCTTATATCTAAGAAGGTTGCTGCAAACAGATTTCAAATATCTCAAATGGTTGAAAAGTTAAGGGGGGTGTATGTTACTTTTTAGCCACCCTGTATAATTGCTATCTTAACTACCTTTTATTTTATATAAGCAATAATCCATTCTTACTCCTTCACTATAACTACATTCTTTCTAAGAAGCCAATTGCTACTAACTGTCAAGATTATATTATAAAATAATTATTGTGCTGTTCTGTGACGTAAAATAGTTCTAGGGGGGGGGGGGGGAATAAACTAGTATTCATAAAATCAGACTAGGACTACCCCTAGGACCAGCCACACTCAAATTTCTACCCCAGAGTGCTCAGAAGTAGCAAAAAAATCCAGGGGTTGAAACAAAGCTGTTCATGGTTTTGACTGCTGCTCAATTTATTAAATGTAATTGAAGGTTTAGAGCACTAGAAGCGCTCAGGAAATCCTGCAGACGCTCAGTAGCAGCTATTTCATCCCCACCTATGTTAAAGTGTTTTGGGAAATGCTTAACTTTTAGACAGACTCTGTAGGGCAGACGAGTATTCTTTTTTAGCCAAGTTGATAAACTACTCGTATTAAACTTTAAACTGTTTAGCTAAAAGACGTTGGTAAAATATAAAATAGAATATTACTTAAAAAATTCCTTCAGAGTCTACGGAGCCTAATTTTTATGGGATAGTGGATTTTTATCCCCCTAGAATTTTACCCCCTGGGCAAACGTGACGTCACAAACCAGGGGGTAAAATTCCGGCCGCGAACTTTTGAGTTTTGCGACATCAGCTCAATGGTTTAGACGCGGAATTAAACATATATTTTAACGGTTGTGAATTTAATCAGAACAGATCAAATTATAAAAACCTAGAGTGTACGGCCCGGATTTTTACCCCCGGAATTTTACCCCCTGGCCAGATATATAAATTAGTGAGAATGATTAATTATCTTCATTCTGTTTTAATTTTATAGTAATCATTTTATTATTAAGTAGCCTAAAATAATTTATTTGTAACATTAACTAACCGAACAGGTTTTTAATTTTAATTTTGAGATTCTAGTATTAGGATTCGATCTTTGAAGCTAACAGTTGGTTAATATGACGTATAAACAATCAACTGAATGATAATTGTTTCGAACATTTCTTTACAAAATAAATTAATACAGATAGTCTACTAAATAATGAAATGTTTACAATTAGTTAAAAACAGAAATAAGAAAATCAAAAATTCAATTTCTAAAATGGGCCAGGGGGTAAAATTCCGGGAGGTAAGAATCCGGGGGTAAAAATCCGGGGGTAAAATTCCGGGGGTAAAAATCCGGCCCGTACATCTTCAGTTGCCTAAACGCTAGCTATGTGGGGGTAATAGTCCAGGAGCTGAGGGGGGTTGAGCATGCATGAAAGTAGTACGCAATGTTATTGCTGATTATTGTAATATGGACTGTGGTGATCAAAATTACGTATGTCGCCTATTTCAAAAGTGGTCGATAAGGTGGGGGGGAGGGGGCAAACATGGCGGTTTGCGCTATGCGTTAAAACGCTGATAGTTCGAAAACGGTAAAAGATAGAACATCGGTTAAAACGTCGTTGTAATCCTAAAAATGTGGACAACAATAATGGTCATTGGGTCCGAGGTCGTATCTCTATAAATAAACAAGTTATTGTATAAAATATGTAAAAATGGACTTTTCATGTAGATTTTTTACCGAAAGTAGAATTAATTTGTGAGTGTCGCAAAGAAGTAATATCAAATATCTTTGCTGATAGTTGTAATATGGACTGTGGTGATACAAAATACGCATGTCGCCTACTTTTCAGGTGGTTGAGAACTTGGGGGGAGGGGGGCAAAGATGGCGGAACGCGCTATACATCGAAATGACTGTAGCTCGAGAACGGTACGAGATAGGACATCGGTTAAAACGTAGTTTTAATCCAAAAAATATTACCAATAGAAAAGGTCATTGGGTAAAAAGTTGTATCTTAACTAATAAAAAAGTTATAACAATAATAAGTTTAACAAAATCTACATCGTACAGCTATTTTTTTCGAAAATCGTATGGATTGTTGATAAATAATAGTGTAATTACTTAATTACTCGGCTAAATATTAACTAGATGCATTTTCTTATAAGAAAAAAATATTTTATTACGAATACATTTGGTTTAAAATGTAAAACACGGCCTCCAAACTACATATAATACTTGGGGTTTCGCCGCAATCAAATGCATAATACAGACTACCACTACAAATTCAATTTTAATTATTATAATGTTGTAGGTTATTACAATATGATTATGTAACAGATTCTTATTTAATACAGTTATATGAAATAAAAAACATTACTACAAAAGTAAATACCTTATAATAAAAAATACGGCAAATCTCTTCATTCTATCCATAACAATTACACTGGTTGTTCATATTATTTGTTGAATTTAAATAGGTACCTTTTTAATTTCTCTTAGCACCTGTAATACAAATAAAAAATTATAAATATTTTCTTTGATACAAATGTATATACATCTATATATAATTAATGCATGAGAGCGGTCAAGAAATTTAATGTTTATGGTGTTTATATTTACAATGGAATTAAACTACTATATATTATATTTCATATTTAATTATTATCTTATTTGTTTGATTATTTATTTATCATTATTTCATTTATATACTCAGTGTATAATGAAATACAAAATACAAGCAATCATTATTTTAAAAACAGCATCAATTATAACGCAACCTAACGGGCGAACCCCAAGGCGTTTGGAGGCCGTGTTTTACATTTTAAACCATATGTATTCGTAATAATATATTTTTTTCTTATAAGAAAATGCATCTAGTTAATATTTAGCCGAGTAATTAAGTAATTACACTATTATTTATCAACAATCCATAAGATTTTCGAAAAAAATAGCTGTACGATGTAGATTTTGTTAAACTTATTATTGTTATAACTTTTTTATTAGTTAAGATACGACTTTTTACCCAATGACCTTTTCTATTGGTAATATTTTTTGGATTAAAACTACGTTTTAACCGATGTCCTATCTCGTACAGTTCTCGAGCTACAGTCATTTCGATGTATAGCGCGTTCCGCCATCTTTGCCCCCCTCCCCCCAAGTTCTCGACCACCTGAAAAGTAGGCGACATGCGTATTTTGTATCACCACAGTCCATATTACAACTATCAGCAAAGATATTTGATATTACTTCTTTGCGACACTCACAAATTAATTCTACTTTCGGTAAAAAAAACTACACGAAAAGTCCATTTTTACATATTTTATACAATAACTTGTTTATTTATAGAGATACGACCTCAGACCCGATAACCATTATTGTTGTCCACATTTTTAGGATTACAACGACGTTTTAACCGATGTTCTATCTTTTACCGTTTTCGAACTATCAGCGTTTTAACGCATAGCGCAAACCGCCATGTTTGCCCCCTCCCCCCCACCTTATCGACCACTTTTGAAATAGGCGACATACGTAATTTTGATCACCGCAGTCCATATTACAATAATCAGCAATAACATTGCGTACTACTTTCATGCATGCTCAACCCCCCTCAGCTCCTGGACTATAAAATTCCGGTTTTTATTGCTAATCTAATTAATCACGCTTGTCTATTTTCATTAGACTTTCAAATCCGCGGGGGTAAAATTCCGGCCGCGATCAAACTTTTGGCCACTCAGGTTACTACGTCATAGTGACGTCAGCTTTGCCCAGGGGGTAAAATTCCAGGGGATAAAATTCCGGCGACCCATTTTTATATATATACATAGAAGAATTTAGCATCATACGGTTAAAATAAATGTAATAATATTATTCGTAATTAATTGTTCAAATCTAAACACTCCCAAGACTTGGTTCTATCACCCGCCAATGACGGGGTTCGGAACTCAGACAACGAGTCTCGGGGTATTAAAACGACGAATTAGTTAAGCAAACAGAGAAATTGTAATTTCGTAACTAGGCTAATTGATTTAAATCAAACTAAACAATAGCCACCACTAATCACTGGCAGGTCTAGACTCAAGTTGGGGAAATTTAAGTTATAAAAATTTTGATATTTAAAATCAAATTTGGAAACAGGAATGCAAATGTTTAACGAAAATGTTGAAAATTAAACGTAAGTAAATCGTGGTAATTTGATTAACTAGTAGCTAACCTTCAGTAAATGAATTATTGATGATCGTGCAAGCGTAGATAACGGATAAGTGTAATGACGAAGTTACTTCGAAGACGTAACGAATAATCTTGTCTTAAAGTAAAATCCTCTCATTCCAGTCCTGTCGAGGCTTATGCGCTCTAGCAGCGAACTTGATGAGGAATACTAGTCAACACCTGATCGCAAATTTACTTGTTTAGCCGGTCTGTTGCCTGTCAACGTCTACAAACAAACACCAGTTTGGGCTGTCATCGTCGGCGTTAAATATTGGTAAAATCGGTCGGTTTAACTGTATTTGACGAATTGGCCTGCTATTACTGATAACTATATCGTGTGAGTGTATGTATATATACATCACTGTGATTAAAACTAGGCCTACGTTCTTTGGCCCATAGCCCAAGCTGTGGCCAACACATAGGCCTAGAAGTAGGCTATTGTGGATAAAAACTGGAAAGTTGCGGTGTTCATTTATTCGTATGTTTTTGTCCCCCTTAAAATTTGGTAGGCCTACCTCACAGTTCTGCTGTTATTTTTATTTTTCTTAGTTTCCGATAACTGTTGTCAAATTGTTTCAGGAGGAAGACATGCTGAATCAGATGGAGGCATTAAAAGAAAATATAAGTGACAAAGAAGATCAAATTGATCTTCTTGAGGCTCGTATCGAGAATATGGAATATGTAAGTTATTACAAATGTGTTATATGATATTATCAGATGTAAATAGACACAACTGTGAGAAGTACAGTGGGTTTTAAGCTTTCAACCAGTCATTATATTAGGCTACTGTGTGCTGATGGTTACTTTTACGGAGTATAATCTTTTTTATACACAATAGTTTCTTGGTTAATTCATAAATTATGGTAAAAATTATTCCAATTTCAACATGTTTCTGACAAACAAAGGTTATGTATTTGTTTGACAAAACTTAATCATCGTTTAATCAACATAATCTTCTTGTCATTTGTGTAAATTATCACAAGCCAAACTACAGTAAGTAGTCAGTTGTATTTAACACTACTAACTAAACTGAAAACATAAAAATGATGGTTATTTGTTGTAGATGCATGAAGATGAAGTAAAAGAATACAAGACCAAATGTACAACACTGGAGGAAGAAATAGCACGCCTTTGCAAACTTGGAAAAACCAGTCTTTCCGATGACATGAAAATTGATTTTGAAAGGCAGATTTTGGAATTGACAGTCCTGAAAGAAGATTTAGAATCTGCAAAATTGACATTGGAACAACAATTAGCTAAACTGACAGAGGAAAACATTGATCTCGTAAAAGTAAATGAGTATTTAAGTCTTAATATTTTGAACATCTTTTCCACCAAGACTGATATTAGAATATATAATAGGTTACGTACCTTAGTCCGTCTTCAGTCTTATGTTAGTCTAGGGATGACTAGTTTCCGGTCAAAGACCCATTATCAAATCCTTGTAAACATCAAATTGAAGTTGGTCATCAATCCGACAGAAGTCTTCATCAGTACATAAATACAGTTCGACAGATAAAGTTCACAATTCACAAACAGAACTATCCGATATAGGCAGAACGATTTTGGTTAGTTCTGTCGTGTCCGCCGTGTAACCTGTGTCGGTTTGTCCCATTATCAATGTGGGAGGCCTATTGTCTTTTAAAAATGTTTTTAAATTGTGAACTTTATGTGTCGAACTGTATTTATGTATTGATGAAGACCCATTATCATATCCTTGTGAACATCAAAATGAAGTTGTTCATTAATCCGACAGAAGTCTTCATCAATACATAAATACAGTTCGACACATAAAGTTCACAATTTAAAAACATTTTTAAAAGACAATAGGCCTCCCACATTGATAATGGGACAAACCGACACAGGTTACACGGCGGACACGACAGAACTAACCAAAATCGTTCTGCCTATATCGGATAGTTCTGTTTGTGAATTGTGAACTTTATCTGTCGAACTGTATTTATGTACTGATGAAGACTTCTGTCGGATTAATGAACAACTTCATTTTGATGTTCACAAGGATATGATAATGGGTCTTTGACCCGAAACTAGTCATCCCTAGACTAACATAAGACTGAAGACGGACTAAGGTACGTAACCTATTATATATATCATAATATTGTCGGTTTTATTTGTATGCAGTAGTTAATGTTCCATTGGTTTAAAACAAGTTTTGTTTTACGTTATTTTCTATCAAATGACATTTCAGAAATAAGCCGATATAACATCCTAATGTAGTAAGAACATTTTTTTGTGGTTTTGTGGTTTTTTTTTCAATCTAAAAGAGCACAATAGTGATTTAGTTTTCAGTTTCTTTAAAAAATAAGTTGTTACTAACAGAGATTTATCAACTTGTTCATTCATTGTATAGTAAACAATAAAGAGTACAGAGGAGAGAGTCTGGCTACATATACATTTTTTTTTATTCATTCTTTTCAGATTCACAGGAATGAAATTCAGGATTTAAAGATTAAATGTGCGACACTAGAAGAAGAAATACTATGTCTACGCAAAGTAGAAAAGGACAGTACAACAGAGAGCTCAAAATCTAATCTTGAAAATCAGTTATCAAAATTAAAAACACAGAACGAGGCTTTGTTATGTGAAAAACTATCATTGGAAGAACAACTAGCAAGACAGACTGAAGGGTTTAAAGCTTTCAGACAAGTAAGTGGATTTATTTAAGGAATTTAATTTTCTTAGAATTAGGTATGGACGGGGTTGAATTTTTAGTTCAAGACAAGTCAGGATTTTAATTTCCTTCCCAACTTTTAGGATGGGACAGGATTTTGTCCTCTATGCAAAAAAGGGTTTGTTTTAAAAATCTTAAGTAAAGATTCTTGCATATATCAAAAATTACATACAAAATCAATTTAGTCTAAAGCTTTTGTGTCACTGATATATATAAAATACCTCAGCCGCAGCAAACCTGCAGAGTGCAGACCAAGTGAATTTCCATTTACCCGGCTTGATTTCTACTAAAATATTCCCTAAAAATTGTCAGATTTATTTCCTATTTAAATAACATTAATTTTAGTGAGTACTTAAGTTTGCTTCTAGGGGGAAGATATTGAGGTGTGTTTTTTTTTTTTTTTTTTGTGCTTAGTATGAAATAAACAAAATTGCCAAATTTGATTAAAATATATCCATAAACAAGCAAACTACAACAGTTTATTTATTCTCCATAAGAATAAAATGGGAATTTTAAATTTACAATTTTTAAAATTTTCTCCATAATCCTTGGGCATACAACACCGCTTCAATATACACAATTATTTCTTTAAGCTCTAAAAAATTGTTTGGAGATAAATTATGAAATTTTGTGTTTTTAGGGTCAAAAATGGGAAAAATCAATTTTTACCCTATAAACCCCCGTTACTGATTCGCGAACTCATTTGAATAAATATAGGTTTACACGTTTGTAACAAATTTCATCACATCGGATCATTTTGCCTTGAGTCATCGCTAGGGGTGTGCGAAGCAGCAAAAAATTTTCGATTCGATTCAAAAGGTTTTCAATTTGAAGCAATACGATATTTTTCTATTCATACTTGTCAATAGAGTGAAGTAACAATAGGCTAGGCCTAATTAAAATTTACCACATTTGTGTAGTAATCAAACTTTTGTTGATGTGGTATGTGGTACTAGGCCTATTCATACATATGACATAATATATGAATTTAGGCTAAAAAATATTTATTTTCAATCATATATTAGAAAGAACCAGTATTGTTAGAAATGTCAGTGAGCTGCTTTACTTGCCTATTTCATAATTTTTACTTGTAGAATCATATTTTTAAGCATGTTACCAATTTTATAATATTGATTTTACAAATAAAGATACTGTATGTTTTCGTGCAAACAAATATTAACATTTGCAAGATTTATACTGAAACTTTCAGTTGGTTCAAATTGATAAAATGATGATAGAATCAGACCTACAAACTACAAGGAATATATAGCAGACAAAGAAATACCAAATTTATCAGTCTAAAACATCAATTACTAGTTTAGTATCAAGTAACAATTAATTATTCAGACCTGTTATTTTTAGAATGATTTTGGAGTGACTTGTTTTAGCTATTACAGTAGTAAAACATGTCTCACACTGCTTACACTTAACAAAACTTCTCATCATTTGCAATATCAAAACAAAAAATTATAAAACAATTAAAGCTATTACAAGCAAAGAATTAATTAAATAAGAGCACCTTTGCAATGAAAACACAACATCAATGCACTTCTGTATTGCGTTGACTTTCTGCAGGCGTTTTTCGTATATGGCTACTGACTCCCTCATGAATCGAATGGTTTTTTTTTATCACTACTTAATCGAATCGCGATTCGATGCACCGAATCAGAATTTCACTCCTAGTCATCGCACTAACAGGCATACACACACACACACAAATACACATATATATATTCATATTCTCATTTTAAACACATTCTTTTCTTAAAAATCCTTTCAAGCTCCTCCCCATTGGCTCTTTCCCATGTTAACCATGATGAGTATTCATATTTAAAAGGAATAAACAAATGTCAGCTGTTTGAACTAACAAGTTGGTTCTGTAATATTAAACAGCATTAAAAAGTTATAAGGTTTACCAACAGGGTGCAGCACTTTTAATTTTTTATGGTAAGTCAATGTCACAGTACTGTATATTACGACGTCAATAACCTCTATGGTCAGGAAATGTTACAGTACTGTATATTGCCGACGTCAACAATCTCTGGCATTCTGTTAATTACGTTTTTAACCCGCCCCTATGACAGTGTGTATCTGGATCCGGATCCAAATTTTTCAAGATCCGGATCCAGTACCGACATTTTCTTGGATCTGCCCATCACTAGTGATTTCATATCTAATTTATTTTTTTTCAATCAGGCAAATGGAAATTCTCTTATTTCGCAGGTTTTTTGTGGCTGGGGTATTTTACAATTTATGTATCCTTAACATGTATTACATGGAATCGCATGAGTTATTAGTGGTATGTGTATTTATATTTTATTCATAAAAATGAAATGATAAAATAGTTATTTGTATCTTTAGGAAACCGCTGAAAGACTACAAACTTTAGAAAAGCAGCATGAAGAGAACATGACCGAATTAAGTGCCCGTGAAGAGAAAATAGTGAAGTTGAATCGTGAAATAAAAACTCATCTTGAAAATTTAGAATGCATTGAAGTGAAACTTATTGAAAGAATCAAAGAGGCTGATTGTTACAAATTGTGTATAGAGGAGAACCAGAAAGAATTTGATTTAGTAAGGAATAAGTTAGAAAGTGAAATAACTGAACTTGTCAAAAAGTCTGCAGAACAAACCGAACTATCTGTTAAAAGTAATGAACTTAAATCCAAATTTCAGTCATTAAGCGAAGCTTTAGCAAAAAAATCTGAAGAGATCGAAAATCTTCAAAAGAACATTGAATCTCTTAATATAGACAAGAAGAAGGTTGAGGAGGAACTTCGCTCTGAAATTTCTACTTTGGAGGAGAGTAAGTTTTTTCACAGCTGTTTTATTCATCCATTTAAGTCACAAAATCTTAGTTTTTAAAATTTGCAGCTTTGGCTGGGTTTGTGTGCTTATCTTGTTACTAGCTGTTACCCATTGGCTTCGCCCGATATAATTTTTTGTTTTATTACTACTAAGAACCCGGTGGAGGCTGGAATTGCCTTTTAAATTATTTACTGTCTTAACTGACCATTTACCAGGAGCTTAAAATTACTCCCTCTGGAACAACCTACCTAATGTTTTTCACCAAAATACTATTCCGGCTGTATCTCCTATCACTTAGACTACCCTTGAACTGAATTTGCCTGTAGTGCAGTTAGTTCTCTTTTTACTGCTTCACAACGGGAAGAGAACTTTAATACTTTTCATTGAAATGGCGACCTTACAACAGTAGGTATTTTAAGCCAAGGAATGGAGATGAGTGTAGGAAGCTGTCAGGGCAAAGCCTTATAGGACAGTATTAAAATGAAAGATGACTATGACCACTTAGCCTGTCTTGTGGTTATAGCCTATTGGCCCTTTTCATGCAAAATATAGAATAGAATATATATTTATTTTCTCAAAGAACTTACAATACATTGTACATATTTCAAAATTATTGTACATTAATTTTCACTTGAAGTAAAACAAAAAAAAAAAACAACTATGTTATAATATAAATAGACTTGAACTTAAATAAAAAGTCCGTTGTTCTCACCAGGCTGACAAAAGACAAGTTACAGTGATCTGAAGCACAAAACAACCATACTGTATGTACAATAAAAGTGACCTTTAAAATTTGAATCTAAAAAAATAATTAGAGCCTCATTAGGCAAAGCCTGTGGTTGAGGTTCCTTTACTTACAAATTTAATGTATACACAGAGCGATCAGATAGATATAAAAACAATACTAGTAAAAAACACAATGGTCTCATTCGAAATCGAAACCTAAAAACAATAAATGAGAAAGACAAATGATTATTCAAAACACCTGCCACATATGTTTGATTCTTATCATGTTTGTTATCTCTGGTTTGATAACTCGAAACCACGCACTGCACTAGTGCCAACAGGCAGCTGATAGCCCCAACCCAAGGGCCATCATAGCACACTACATACAATGTATAGACCCTGAGTGGCATAGCCCGCCAAAGTGTGTCCTTAACTGCTAAAAATTCAAAATAACTCATTTAAGATTCTAAGTTAACATATCAGCTCAACATATCAGTTTAACATAACAGCTCAATTAATTGGTCTAGTAGTTTTAGCGAATTTCCCATATAGGGAATAAGCTAATACCGTAGTACTCATGGTAAGACCTGGACCCGGGACAGATTTAATTGTCATTTTTAAATGTCATTATAATGAATATTTTACTGTCCCAAGTTTTTTCAACACTTTTCAATTAAGTTCATTGATGAAACATAGAAATACATTGTGAAAATAGAAAATAAATCCATATAATCCAATTATTAAGAATACCATTTATCATTAGACTAATATAAAGCATCTGGTTTGTTGGTACAGTGAAAAAATATGTTTTTCAAACTCAAAAGATAGTTGTAAAAGTAATTTGTTTAATTTTTAGGTTGTAAGAAGCAGTTGCAAGAAACAACAAGACTGTGGAACTCTCAAAGAGTGCAGGAAATTGAAAATGAAAAACTTGCCAAAGAGCTGTCAAAAGTTAAAAATATTATGGGTGATTTAAGCAGGTAAGTTGTACTACATCAAGTGGGAGGTGGTTTATTTTTAATGGTACGTGTCTATTGCAATTTTTGTCGTTTTGGTTTTTGACTTAACACCGACCCCTTAAGACTTAACCCTAAAGATAATTTTACCAAAAGTTTAGTTAGTGTAAAATGCACAGGCTTTTAAATTAAAACAGCTATTGGCATACTAACAGCTTAAAGCATAATCAATCGCGTCGGTGGTGACGAGATTAAACTGAAACTCTTCATGCACAGTGAACGTGTTTTAAACTTAGTTTTGTATTTCACTAAGTTCTGTTTTATCGAAACCCTATATTGTGCGTAGGGGTCTCAATCCCGGGATCCCGGTCAGTTTTTGATACCTAGAAATCCCGGGATTGGAGTCTTTTAATCCCGGGATTAAATGGATTGCAATACCTATGTTTATACTTAGTTTTTATTAATATGGTATTAGCTGTGCTCTATTTCAATTAGACAATTTAATTATCATTAAACTCAATAGGCGATCGTAGTGTAAATATATGTTTCAAGTGTATTAGATGTATTTAGATTTACCTTCTGAAAACGTTATTAGGCCTACATTAGTTAAAAGTTAATTAATAACAGTACCGGTATAAGTTATTTTGAGTTTAACTTTTGCCATTAAACGCAAACAACGCAATTGATGTCGCAACATAAAATATGGCAATCGGTAATGGAAGTATTGTTTTCTTAATACAGGCTTTTAGCCTGAGAATATAAACACACCATTATTATTTCATTATTAAGATTACTTATGTTTAGGGTCTATAACTTTTCTTCGTATTAGGTTTTAAGAGCGGTGATTAATTTTTTTATAATCCTAAATTACGTTTACACGTTAGTACATAAGCAGATGGTTTGTTGTTGTTTGTACTTTAAATTGTTTTATTGCTGTCAGTCAACATAACATTTTTACGCTGCAACTGATGATTCTTCCAATATTATCTCTTTATCTTAATATTTTTATTTATTTAGTTTCCATATTAGCATATTATTTTTAGTAGTCAAACTTCCAGCTGTGCTTCTTGGAAAGTTTAGTGTTGAGTGAAGCGTGATGTGTAGGCTACATGCGAGTGCGCTTGCTGCTGTTTTCTTTTATGTATTTATTAAATTCTAGAATGACATATCAACATTTATACACTGTAAATAATAAAGATGGATGATAAAAGTTCCGTGTAGTAATATTTTTTTACTGAGAAAACGGCATAATTGTGCAGTGTAACACTGGTAAAGGCATTAAAGGACTCAATAAACATTAAGGACTCAACAAGGGGACTTCACGCTCTTTTAAAATGGCTAAAAAGTTAAAATAATATAAACCCGGGATTTTGGGATTGGCTAAGAGAAATCCCGAGATCCCGGGATTGGATTTAAGGCCCGAGATTGAGACCCCTAGTTGTGCGGAACCGTATTTATATTTTATATTTTACTTCAAATCAAATCAAATCAAATCAAATCATCTTTATTCCATAGACACAAATTGTGAAAAGTACAATAGTGTATAGGCTGCGTCAACAATATAATACAACTTAAAACTAATCTAAGGTTGAGGCAAAATAATCTTCTATTTTATAAAAACAGTTTTTTAGAAGAATTCTCTTGATGGCTACTTTAAAAACATTTAATGGTAACTTTTTAACTTTAACTGGTAACTTGTTGTACAATTTGGTAGCGGTACTTACTTTATATTTTCCCGATAAATCAAACTCTTGATAATTCAAATCGATTTGCTTGGCCCACCAATTTCTTATTATCAAGAGTCTACTGTAAACCATTTGAATTACAGAGAGTTCTACTGTACAACTTCTGACTTGACTCCACCACTTTCTACAAAGTCTTCATTTTCCCGGACACGTCCTCTTTTTGGGTACATAAAAACGCCCGGGGGGGGGGGGGGGGGATTTTTTGCAAAACCTTATGTCATGGATTTAGGCTAAAAAATTAATAATTAAAATTATTCCTGGGTTGTTTTTTTTCCTGGAACGCTAGGCACGAGCCTGGGATTGTTAGCGAATTTGTATGACTTTCCTATGTTTCCATAGTTTGCAAATTGTCTCTTTCAATGATTGCTCAATAAATGCAGCACAGTGTTCATTCAGTTTTCTTTATAGTATATCAAATTGTCCATGCTTTCTCGCTTTTTTCCATTGTTTAATATTCCCCTCCCCCCCTCACAACACTAACCCAAATTCAAATAGTAAATATTTCACTTCAACCAAGTCAGTAAATGTTTGTAGAACTCGTTTCCCTTAACCCTTTCAGTGCTAGGCCAATTATTCATATTTTGTAAGACTTTTTTGTTTGCCTTTTAATTCCATTACCTGTTGTTGGATTTTAACTGACATGTTGTCACTATTTTATTAACCCTCCGAGTGTCATGCGTCGCTGCAGCGACTCGCGAACACTGTTTACGGCGAAGGCTCTATGACTGACTGAATCGGATTGAACTGGATCGAGTTAGGTATCGTTCTTTTCGTTAGATTCTCAGCTTTCTCCAGAGGTCTGTCTCAGCGCTGTATGTTCTCCGAGGCCGATCGTAATTGTAGCAGACAGCTGACGTTCGTGTTTTAGACAACTTGGTTATTTCACATCGGTGACTTGTGTGTTTTTGTACGTTTATCGTCGTTTTTAGTGGTAAAAATGGACAGTAGTGATATACGTAATGCACTAGAAGATGATATTAGTGATGTTGAAGGACTTATTGACGATCCGGATGAAGTTGGTAGTGACATTGATGTTAATTATCATTCAGATTCTGAACTATCTTTGCTAGACTTTTCGTCAGGGAGTGGAGGGGAGTATGTGCCCGATTTGAACGATTTAGAGACGTCAGATATTGACGAAAATCTTGAAATTGAAAATGAACAAGACCCTAATGCAGGTAGGCCTAGGCTAATACCAGTACAGCAAAACATAGAACATTGGATTAGGGTGTATCCCCCCGAACCTCCGAAAGATGTCAGACCTCAGTTTCAAGTTAGGGCTACAGGACCCAAAGATTTACCCCCCAGAAATTCTTCCCCTATCAATTATTTGAACTTATTTTTGACAGCTGCCTTTTGGAATCTCATTACTAGAGAGACAAATGTCTATGCTCAAAGAACATTAGATGAAAAGAGAGATAATTTGAGTCCACAGTCTAGGCTCAAAAAATGGTCCAATGTTTCCATACAGGAAATGAAAAAGTTTTTTGCTATTCTTATCAATATGGGAATGACAGTTAGAAAAAACATCAAATCATATTGGGACACTAGAAAAACAGAACATATAGCATTTTATTCAAACACCATGGCGATAAATAGGTTTTTACTCATAAGCAGTTTCTTGCATTTGACATCGGCCCGCGCTGTTGAGAGGGGTCAGCCTGGACATGACCATTGGATAAAAGTAAGGTGGTTGTTAGATCATCTGAATTCAAGTTTCAAAAAACACTTTGTACCAAATCAGGAACTCTCCATCGACGAAAGTGTAGTAGGAACAAAGAACCGATGCATATTTATTCAATATATGCCAAATAAGAAACACAAACAATACGGAATAAAAAAATTCGAACTTTGCGATAGTGCCACCAATTATGTTATGCACATGGAACTATACAGTGGACGTGATTACCTTGCTGAAGCTAATTATGATGAAGAGTTATTTACTGAGAGGGTAGTAAAGAACTTGGTTGAAAAATCTTCATTGTTTGACAAAGGATATCATGTCTTTACAGACAATTTTTACACAAAAATTCCGTTGGCTGAGAACCTCCTTGAACGACAAACGTTCATCACCGGAACCATAAACAAAAAGTCAAAATTTTTATCAAAAAGAATTAAAAACTATAACTTAGGAGAAAGGGAAATACTTTAGAAAGAGAAATCTGTTATTGGTTGGTTACCGTCAGAAACTGAGTAGGAAAATTGTGTATTTGATTTCTACAGCATACCATGCGGATGATCAAATTGTTACAAGTAAAAAGGGACTGAGAGGTATGAAACCGGTTTTGATACACCATTACAACCAGTTTATGGGTGGTGTGGATGTAAGCGATAAATCTGTGTACCATATGTCTTGCAACCGCACCACTTCTAAGTACTGTAAGAAGCTGTTCTTCAATTTTATTGATATTGCGCTCGTAAATGCTTACATTCTGTACAAAGAGAACACTGACAAACCTGTATCAAGAAGAGATTTCCACATATCTATTGTAGAATCCCTCGAAGGCTAAGCAACCTGCGATGCCTTACCTGGACCAGTTCCTGGACCCCGCGGAGATTGCGGTGACCACCGACTTGAAAAACTGCCTCAAAGACAAGAAAGAAAGTGTATCGTTTGTGGTCACACCAAAACTAGAGGCAGGTCTAGATTTTGGTGCCCCAGTTGTAATGTGGGTGTTCACAGAGAATGCTTCCACAAAATGCAGCACTTTTTGAGGCTTAAGAGGGGCAGAAAAAGGGCCAAAGTGACCCTAGACCAAAGTAGCGGTGAGGACTCTGATTAGGCCCATGTGTTAATTCTTATGTATATAATATTTCTTTTCATAAGTGTTTAGTTTTTATTTACAAGTGTTGAAAACTATTGACAGCAACAACTTTGCAAGTTTTTTGTCTAACTTTTGTGACTTTTTGTAAATATATTTTGGATACTTTGTAATTTATCAAGTTCAGCAAACGAATTCTTCAAGTTCGGCAAAGGATTCTGGCCCCAATCAAGGTAAAACCATGCTGTATTTTTCTCATTTACTAGTAGGCTGATTTTGTACTAACTGTAAATAAAATTTCATACAACATGAAATACTCTGGTTGGTTCAATATGTGTTTTTATGAAAGGTGTTGAGTCATTTGGCGATTTCGGTATTTTCTTTCAAACGCGCAAAACATGTTTTTCACTCATAACTTATTTATTTGATAACTTACCTCACTATATGATTATATATTTGTAATCCTCATAAAATTTAGAACAAAGTGGCTATTTTCAAATATTTATAGGCCTATAAT